GAATAGAAAAATGCAACTGCGGGATCATAGATACGTAGTATGTATGAAAGTGTTTATACACACAAACATACATACATAGTTAGGAATAATTAATGATTCTTAATTACAGCTCATATTCTATGTATACATAAATGTCGAAAGACAGGCAAGAATCTTATATATCCTGCAAATTAACACATTAAGAAACTTTTTCTAGCATATAAAATTACATCCAAGATTATCATCACATGAACTTAATCAAATAAGGCAATGAACCTCCATTTATTCACTACAGTTGATTAGTGCAATCCATTGCCTAAGTTTTCTATAGTCTTTGATCTCACTTACATATGTGCATACCAACTAACGCGTTACATACTTACTTGTCCAATTTAACAACACAGGAAATTATTTACAGATGGAATTACGTTTGTTCTCCTTTGGTCTAAAATGAAAGTTTGGTTGAGGAAAATTTCAATCGAAGTGGGCAATGAAGCACAGAGATTGAAAGGCATGCAAAATCAAGATTGAATAAAATAGTAACGAGCTGAAACCAACATTATTTATTATTTATACATTATAAACATTACAGGATGGTTCTTTCGAGAGCAATGTCGAATTCATTCACCCTTTTTTAAATATTTTTTTGGATGTGATTTTTGTTGCAAAACAAAGTATTACTTAATCTTACTTAATGACAGAAAGCATTCTGTGGAAAATTTTTGTTCAGACCAAGGCATATCAAACAGTTGGTAGTATTAGAGCAAAAACAACATTTACGTGCATTTTGATGTTGCTTCTGACATCTAAACTTATTCTAATTTTGCTTTTCAATCGCTTGTTTTGTATGGGAAAAGGTTGTACATTCAAACAGATTTTGACAAGTTATAATTTTTTGGGAAGAAATTAAAAATATTTGACATTTTATAAACCAAACAATTAAAAAAAAATCAAATCAGCTGCTCTACTAATGAAGCAAAAACGTAAATTTTCCAAACCATCTATAAATAAAACTGTAGGATTGTAAGTTTTAAGTTTGCATTGCGAATAAAAAAATCTAACTTTTCAATGTAAAATTTTATCCATAGGCAATGTGGCCAGATTCGCAGTGTTAATCGAAAATTACAAGCTTTTTAGAGAAGCATACATTTTTTTAATAAACTCCTAGTACAAAGTACACCAGTTTTGAAATTCCTGATTAAAGGAATAAATTAAAATTTATCTTTCGATTTTTTGTAAGTCAATTTTTTCTCATTTGAAACCAACGGTTTTAGCTGTACTTTGCACTCCTGTCGCCAATTTATCAATTTGCATAAAACAAGAAATAATTTAGAAATTACAGCACACTCTGATGTTTTAAGAACTAGAGCTTTCTTGAGAAAATCCTTCAGGAAGTTACTAAATTTGAGGTATCGAATCAATTGCTAAAAACTTAAAAAGCAATTTACGAAAAATAATGAAAATAAATTTAATTAAAACACAATATGATGTGTGTGAGTTTATAAAGTATATTTTTGTTAATTTAAGTATAATTTAAAAATTTTCGCGTAGTTATGTTTAGTAAACATAAAAAACCAAATTTTTTTTTAAATTCTCTTCGTTTTCTGAAGGTTCCCGTTTTTGGGTCGAAAGTACAGTTTTTTCCTGAAAATTAAAAGTTCTTTTGAAAAATCTGGCAACACTGCCCATACGCCTTGTGCGACTATGATTACTACATGGCGTATGAGTAACAATCCTTCCGGCTCATATTTCATCACAAAAAAAAAACATTACCTACGTATTTTCATTCCTTTATTTATACATATTTCGATCTTCGTTAGTAGCTTGATTTTTTTCAAAAAGAACAGGATTTAATACAAATTGAAAAATTAAAAAAAGACAATAGATTCGCAAAAATGTTTACGACTCACAGCTAATTTAACGTGTTTTAGCATTTTTGTGGCATTTGAAAACCTGAGACGTTCCCTACATTGTGGTCACTCTTATACGGTCCATGTATTATTGGAAACTATTTAAGTATTTATTATATATTTATTTGTAGTCATTTTATGCTAAATCATATTGCTGCAGTATTCTAACATTGCAATTTAATTAAAAAAACAACAGCTATTACTTATTTATTGATATAAATTTATATGTATGTACGTACACTAGGCGGCAAATGAAAGTTTACACCTTGTTCTAATTTAATATCCACAATTATTTGCATGAAAAATATTTTGCATTAATTAATTAAGAAAATTTAGTTCATTCTATATTATAAACCATATAAATCAAAGACTCACACTTTATATGAAGTTCAAAAAAAAATTAAACAAAAAATATTATAAAAATTTTAAACTTTTTATTAAGAATTTCTAGAAAATTTTAGAGTATGCAATTTTGTAGCCCATTCAATTTTATCAATGTCCAAAATCTGTTTTTATATGGAAGAATATGCGCAACACCCTCCAAAAAAAAAAATCTAAAAATTCAACGGTAATTTCTAGCGACTTGAAACTTGCACTAAAATAGAATGGGCTGCAAAAGTGCATACTCGAACATTTTCTAGAAATTCTGAGTGAAGAGTCGAACATTTTTGTGAAATTTTTCGAATTCCTTTCAGCTTTGTATAAAGTGTGAATCTTTGATTTATATATTTCGATAAATAATTAATGCAAAAAGTTGTTCATAAAAATAACTGTAACTAGTGCATGTGTGTATGCAATTAAAATATGCTTGTAACTATGTATTCATATACATATGTACGTAGCTTTATTTTAAGCAAGTCGAAATTTGAAAAAATCTTCAACAAAACCACTATTGAAATTTTTGACAAACTTTCAAATATTCTGCTGCTGACTGTGTAAAAGCACCACGTTTAAGATTTACAATGCAGCAATATTCGTTTATGACATCTATTGAGTTTATTAAACTTTACTTTTAGGCAAAACTTTTTTGACATGCATTAATTTTATAAATTAAACCACGAACGACGCTTTTATTTCGTTATTATGAATGAAACACCAAATACATACATAAGTATGTACGTACAATAAATTCGTATTTGATGAATATTAAATAAAGTTAAATATGTAGGAGAAAAAAACCAATTAACCTTCTTATTGCTAGCGTCACCGACATGTACATAACTAGCAGTGTTGCCAGGTCGTCGGCATGAGAAAACGTCCCTCTTGGTCTGAAAAAAAAAGTCATTTCCCACCCAAAAACGTCTTATTCAAATGAATGTACAAAGGTACATACGTACGTAAGGTATATTAAAATGTAATTTTGACAGAGCACATTTAAAATTCATTGTAAACTGGTTTGAGATCGTTAATATAAAAATAATTTTATACATACATTTGTGATCAGCTGATTAAGTCATCACCATTTTGATCGATTTTGGCTGTTTCTCTTTTGTTTATTTAATGTTTATTATTTTTCCATAAAAGCCAAGCTCATTATATAATAAACAAAATATAATAAACAAAATATAAATCCACATTTCAAGCTTTGTGCAAAAATTATAAAAAATCTGCAAAGCTCAAGCTAGATTTTCAAATTTTTATTTAGATTTTTTTGAATTTTTTGAGTACGCAGGTTGATAGCTTATTAATTATTTCAGGGCAATAATGTGCAAGTTTTAAGTTGCTAAAAAATCGGGCTGATTTTAAATAATTTTTTTTCTTGTAGACATTTGCTAAGGGGGTCGGTTGTCGAAAATGCTATATTACGTTCTGCTAAAAACTTCCCATTATTCCTTGCGCATATCGAACACTTTGCGTGAAATTATCGAAAAAACAGCAAAGCTAAGATTTACTTGCGTCTAACTTTGTACCAAAAAAAAAGCAGAAAAGCACACAAAAGTCTTAGAATAAATACTAAAAGTTACCGAATGAATCTATGTAGATAAATCTCTAGAAATTCAGAACAAAAGTCCAAACCCCACTAAAAAACAACAAAATCTCCGATTTAAACCTGAAAGTTCAAAAGTGTTCCCAAAAAAATTCCGAACACTGCCAGAAACATCCTGAACAGTTTTGGAAAACTTCCGAAAAAAATTCGAAAGTTACGGCTACTTAAAATTTATTGGATATCACATACAAGCTGAAAATTGCTTTATTTGAGTAGCCTTGAGTCGGATCATTTAGGGTACCCAGAAATCTACTTTGTATACCTTAAGCGATAATGAGCTGAAGCGAAATGCCTAGAGGGAGGTAACGATGAATTTTTTGCGAATGGAACGAAGCTTCATGGAAACTCTCCATCACTAAGCTAACTGCTCACCGATGTGACGTCAGGTACGTCAGGACATAAGGCAGGTAAACAAATACAATTACTCCTTAAATAACCGCTATTTATGAGATTTATCTAAATAATCTGCAAATAACAGTTATGTTTGATTTTTAAATCATATGTAAACATAAATCAGTCACCCATGATTATTTCTTAAATCATACTTATAGAAGTCATTTGTATAAGTTTTCAATAACTTTTATCTAAGACAGACAATATAAAAATAAAAAATTATTGTTATTTGTGATTTATAATATAAAAATCAAAAATATTTGTTATTGCAACAAAAAATTTATTTTCAAATTTGAGTCTCGGTGAGAACAGAAATCGATTGGTATGTATCACTTAGTTAAAGAACATTTCCTTCATAGTAGGGCTTTCGATTTCTGCTCGCACATTCTCGAGCATTTCGATACCCGGGAAATCGAGTTTATCGAGTTCTCGACATAATCTCCGGTATCGCCATTCTCCCGAGCAATACTATGTAAGAGCATGTCGAACGTATTAAAAACAAAATCAGAAAAAAATTTATGTGTAAATGTTAAATCAAAATGTTATTGTCAAAAAACCCCTTTGTGCGTATAAGAAGAATTTAGTTCGATTTATATGCTGTGTATATATTTGTGGCATTCCATACCAAAATGGACGGGGTTCACACTTTATGTGTTTGATTTTTTTTAATTTATAGGGTTGATGGATAAACATAAATAATAAATAAGTATGAAATTTGAGCTTGATTAATAAATTTTTAAAAACTTTGCAGCACAAAAACAAAAAAAATGGACTTAATAGTTTTCCAAATATTTCGAGAAGGGGGCGAGGAAAAAATTAAAAAAAAATCACACACATCAAAATTAAAATTTTTCCTTAAAAAATGTTTCTCATACAAATTTTTTTATAGAAATATTGTGTTTGAAAATATGCCATCTCAAAAAAATCACAATGGTAGCTCTGAGTATTACGCAATATTTAGGTATAGTATTAAGGGGTGCATCTGCAATAATTTGAGTTATACATTTTTTTCACCGAAGTTGAGTAAAATGAGTAGATTAAAATTTACAAATTTTTTTAATTTTTTAGAGTTCTTTTGAGTATGCAGTTTTGTAGCCCATTAAATTACGCCTACGTATCGCACCTTTTTTAATATACAGAATCAATTTATCAAAA